CCTTGGTACTTACCACCTAACATACTATGTTCTTTATAGCATCACCCCCTGCTAGGAAGTAAAATCGTAAAATGGAAAGGGTCTCTACTTATATCTAGGCAGTATATGTCACCAACATATACTGCCTAGATATAAGACACTCATATTAGTAGGAGTCAAGCCAGCGTCTTAAGTAATACACATACAACTCATACCTCTTGAGTTTAGCTGATAAATAAGTAGGGACTTGTGTATGCTAGTTTTAATAGAAAACTATGACTTCATAGGTATTACTGGGTAGGTCAAGTCAGAAAGAAGTATATTAAGTAAAACAAAGGTACTGGTAAAAGGCAGCTATAGCAATAGTCTTAAAGGCATCATGCATGACTGAACTTGGGCTAGATGTTGAATTAGGCTCCGGGGTGCATGTGACTGACGTCCCTCCCTGGTGTGCTCTCCTAGTTGTGAATATAGCCTGGATAACTACCAAACTACCTTCCATCCTGTTGGCTCCTCCGTGACTCACCCTAATCACTATCAGAGGTTTGAAGTGAAGACCTTTGTCTTTGTATCAGAGGCCCAGGTATTCTCCAGCCTGGTAAGAGATTAAGAAGTGGGACAGGTCAAATGTGAGTGCATCGATTCCACCTAACTCTCTTCATCTGTTTCCAGGTCTACTTTCACTGCAGTGCTTTAATCTGCAATCAGCTCTCTCCTGATTCCCCTCTGTGTTCAGTGACATGCCCGGTATCATCTAGGCACAGGCGAGGTAAAAACTCCAAATCTCCATAACTGAGTCTTACTCAAATCAAGCCTCAACCTCTCAAATTTGATGACTTGAAGGATGGATATGACTCATCTCAAAAGCCCAAGAAAGCTCCCTGTAGCCTAGTCTGCCTTACCCATTTGATGAGTCTGAGACAGGCAGGCTCTGGTTTAGCTCTGAGAATCTATTCCCCTTCATCTTACAGTAAGGAACATGGCCTCTACTGCAAAAGCAGGCAAAACTATGTGAAGGAGCAGGATACTCCACAGAGCATCTGCTCTTAAGTGTTCCATTGACACACCTCTCAAACCACTATCCCAGAGGCCAAATACAAACTCGATCTGTCTCCAACCACAGGGGCCACTGAAGAAGAGAAAGTGACAGTCAGCCTCCCGGGACCTATCCTCCTGTTGTCAGATGGCTCCTTGCTCAGAGGTATGGATTTAAAGCCCGGGTTACTTCCTGGACAAGTTCTTAGCTTCTTATGTTGAGTTTAATGCTTATAATGGGCACATGTTACTCCCGGGACCTATCCTCCTGTTGTCAGATGGCTCCTTGCTCAGAGGTATGGATTTAAAGCCCCGGTTACTTCCTGGACAAGTTCTTAGCTTCTTATGTTGAGTTTAATGCTTATAATGGGCACATGTTATGATGTATAAACCTAAACAATAGAACAGGACACACTTCCCAGAAATAGGCTTATTAATCTCTTGAGTACCCTTCCAGAAATCCAACAAGTGATAATATATTCTAGTCTATTACTCTTGTTCTAGCTATCTTATCTGCACAGAAAACTACCTCACAGTTAACAACTGTATAGGATTCCATATGGCCCTGCCTTACCTGTGGGTCTCATTCATGGACACCTAGGTTAATCCTAGTCTTGTCCTTAAGGCCATATTGGAGTCCTCTTAAATCTTTGCCTACTATACGAGAAACTCAGGGTATTTTTCTAGCGGGACTCATAGGTCAGAAGGCACATGCACCTTCCAACTTGTTACTGCCAAACTGAAGTCCAAGTTAGATTCTGTTCCAATTATCATCCTATACCTTATCCCGGAGTGTCTTAACTTCAGACCTAGAACTTGAAATTAAAGCTGTCTTAAATTCCCTAACCTGTGAGATCACACACTCAGGGGATGACTAACCATATCTGTTAGCATCAATATGTTAAACAAAGTTATATTAAACCCTAACATTCCAGGTATCAGCCCATCTGATTTGAGATCAGTAAAAGTACATGGGAATAGCAGGGAGAAAGTAGAGGTAGAAGTAGAACAGGAGTCAGTTCATGGGGCCAGGCTAAACCCTGTTGCAAGCATCCCAAATAAGTATGAGGCTTAATTCTATCCCCTTCTCCAGGTAGCCTTTAATGTAAGCTTCAACTTCCACTTATGCCTTAAACATAATCTTAAGACTTGAATATCTGCTTCCTTTCCAGATGCTATAGACTCCAAAGGGCACAGGACTGCAGGAGACGTTGCTTCTAAAACAATGGCTGCTGTGGCTGCCTTAGCAGGTGTGGTGGCAACTCTAGGCTTCATCTGTTACCTGCGCAGGAAAAGAACCATGATGTTAAATCACTAACTGGACTTCCAAATAAAGTAGTTGAAGTAAGCCTCTTGCCTTCTATTAAGATTAGATGGTGTTGATCGTTTCTTTTGGCCATTCGTCAGAGTGGATGCAGTACCTCTCCATGATTACCTAGGCAGGCTTTTGGTCTCTATGGACACAGATAAGGAAATTTATGATAAATGGCTTCTTGTCATTTGGCCTTCTCTGACCCCTCACCTCATACCTGAAGCCTCTGGCACTACCAATCAATAGCAGGGCTTAGCTACAGCCCACCTCTGAGGTTACGCTTAAATGAGTATCTTCTACCCACTCTGCTCCTACATAGGATGGGGGGTGGTGTAGAAAGCCATCTCTGATCACTAGCATAATTTCCCTTTTCTCAGGGAGGAGAAACCAGGTGTTTCCAAGAAAGTAACCTGGTATCCTGCTTCAAAGTATTTCCTAACTCGAACTATTTCCAAGAAGTAGACAACTGCTCTAAGGGCTTAATTTAGTCAGTCTCTTCCTGTAGCCCCAGTCTGAAGACCAATCCCCTTTGGGGAAAGGAAGGGAATACTATGAGGTGCCAACTTGGATTGTCACAACTGCACTCAAGTATCATTAAGACTCTGTAGTCTCATCTGAGC